TGTATATAGGCTTCAGCTTCAATTAACGCCTCTTGGAGGGTAGCAACCCTCTTCCGGACGAGGTCAAACTTAAAGGTCGACCCATCCTTCAGACCTCGAAAGAAGTCTGTATAGGCCACTTCGTCTGATAGTCCTGGAATCTGAATTCTCATCAGATTGAACCGTCTGACGTATGACCGGAGGCCCTCCCGGTCGCCCTGCTGTATTGCCCCTAGGTCGAGGCTAGTCTTTTTGGCAGGAATATTCATTGAGAAATTTGACGTAAACAAGTACGCCAAAGTTCGAAAGCTGTTGATGCAACCGGCTGGTAGGTTACCAAACCACCGCTGGGCTATGCCCTTTAGGGTAGCCGGGAAGCATCGACACCAGACGGCATCATCTAACCCCTGGAGGTACATGAGGTTAGAGTAGGCCATTAGATGGTCTTCTGGGTTGGTGGTGCCGTCATAGGCCCCCACCAAAACATTCTTGATCTTAGGCGGCTGTGTCGCCTGGGTTATCTCTGGTGAGAACGCCGTTGGCTGTTCCCCCAAATTTAGCAGGCGCAGCTGCCAGTCCGTGGGTTGGAACGGCTGCTGCGCTTGCCCACCGAAAAGACCCGGTGACATAAAAGGGGATCCACCCAACCCATTCGGTGTGCCGAATAGGCCAGGCTGGATCACTTTGGGTCCAGACCGGGCAGAAGCTTCGCCCGTCTGGCTCCCAAGGTTCGTTCCCGTACGCCTGTGTGAGACGTCATGGAAACTGTCCGGGAAGGTCGACGTTGAGGTCGACGCAGACGCCTGACCTCGCTTCTCTTGGAGAAATGTGCGGGCGTCTGAGAATATTTTCTTGGAGCCATCCGGCTGTACGTGCCGGATGGCCTTTCGCAGCTCCCCTTGAGGAAAACGGAGTCTGCTTGGATCAAACCTTAAGCCCTCCCCCTCCTTTGGCTTGGAATGAGGGGTAGGAACTCGTTCTTTGACCGCCTTCTTTCCAGAAGGCTTCTTGGCCGGCTGACCCTTCTTTGGAGTAGCTGACCGGATGAGGCTCTTGATCTCACCCTTGAAACTATTCATGAAAGACATGAGTTCGTTTCTTGTAACGGGGGCTGAGCCCTCCACCGTTTGGGCAATTCCAGCCGGTTGCCCGGCTGGGTTGCTGGGAGCAGCTTGGCTGATTTCCCGTTCTCTTCTATCTTTAGCACGAGGGTGCTTCGTTCTGAAAGACCCATCCGGGGCCACATATGTTTCAATTTCGTCTCCACTTTCATGGTCCGTCTGGACCTCAGGCTCGACCACAGGCCGTTTGCCCTGATTCGGTGACACAGTATCAGAAGTCATCTTAGAAGTACTCTCCCCACAGACGGCGCCAAATGTTTCGGGGTTTTTTGATGTGTCCTGCGGGAGAGTTACAATTCCAAGAATGCCCTTCGACGCCTGTGCCTGCAAAATCACGAAGACTCCTGGGGGTAGGAGCTCCGCCTCCGACGATCAAGTTAGTAAAGATACGGGAGGTAGAATGCACGTAATGTAGAAGTTACTTCTCGCGTAATGGGAGAATTCTGCAATTAATATTGCTCGGGGTAAGTGTTTTTCTTTTTGAGGAGTATTCAATGTGAACAACAAATGTTTCAGCCCCCCATTAATGAGGGTCCTTCCACTATTTATAGTGGGGAAGGGATGGTTTCCCTTTTAGGGTTTAGAGGACACGTGTCAGCAGAGGATTGGAGCCCTGCTGACCAACGGCTGGATGCCACGTGTCACTAGGCCATTGGGCCACGTGTTTAGGGTATTTTTACCCCAAACACTACCTGTATTAGTGGTACCCTCGATATGATGACATCGTGTGCTCTGATCTTGAAACCCTAGATATGCTGAAATTGTACCATCAACGTAAAAGTGGCACACTGCAAAATCACTTTATGTTCCACTATTACCCAACTTATTGCTACAAAATGACAAATGGTACATTTAATGAACTTAAAATTGTACCATTAGAAGAGTTGTTAACAAGAAAATCGAACACATAAATACCACTGCATTAAAACAACAGTTCAATTCTTTACATTACAAGTGATAGGAATCATCCAGGAGTACCTAGTACACTCGCAAAAAGAACCATCAGAATTTGTTCCCCTAACAGAAGTGAAGTACCCTAAGGAATCATCCACATCCCTCATTTGAATCCCTCCAACCGATCGCATATTGATAATGACATACTGTTATGTGCCCCCACAGCTTGCTTCTTTACTGCATTTTTCGACAAATGATTCTGTGGCACTCAAAGTGTTTACACTCACAAGTAGCTTCATATGTAGTTCTGTCATAGCACACCCTGTAGCATCTCCGAATCTTAGTCATAGATTCTCTCTTTGCATATTTTGGCTTGATCCACTCGGTCCTCAATAACAAACTCAATTTGATTCTCACCAACTTCATAGTCATTTAGGCGACGCATGTACAACATCCTCTTACACTCCCGCTGAACTTGTTTGAATTTGGCGTCCATGTAACACTTTTGGAACACTTCCTCCGCTGGGAAATCGATCTCTAAATGCCTGATATAACGCAGTGTGTTGGAGTCCGCAATTCTTTCTCACTCGGCCCTTATCTACATTGCATCGCAGTATTGAAGCACAAATTTAGACAAAGTTATATGCTTGTCAACATAACCTTTGAAGAAATGATAGAAACTTTCCGAATGTTGGGTCGTTTTCATCCCGGCCCAAAATAAATGCTTCAAATACGCTGGAATCCACATGTACCACAACCCTACATTTCATATAATCGCAATTAGTGGCTATTCTAAAAACATACAAACCTGATATACCTGGACTCCTGTGACTGGTACATTCAGTGTTTCAGAAATGTGCCACAGATAAGAAAAATATGCAAAAAAAAAAATTCAGTGGTACAAAAGTCTACCATTACACCTGCTCCTACTCTAAATCATAACTTAAACAACTTCCAGTCCCCTGCACAGATAGCTACAACTCTGCATATTCTAGCAGAAATCAGTAACAAAAAATAAAAGAAGAAATGGAAGTGCAGTACCTTCTAGCCAACTGTTTTCTCCTAGCTTGTAATAATCAACTGCGTCCACCCAACGATCTACAAATTCATCAAGATCTAAACTACCATAAATAATATTTTCAATCTCATCCTTTACTACTTCATAGTCCTCATTCTTACCCACATACCTCCCAAACTTCTGAAGTATGTGCCATATGTACCACCTATGGCAACTCTCGGGCATAGTCAAGTTTACAGCTTTCCTAATCGCCGAATCTTGATCCATTAGGTTTGAGATAGGAGCTTTACCCCCCATGCAATGTAGCAAAGTCCTCAACACTCACTCATAGGTCTCCGCCGTCTCCCGAGAGATCAATGCACACCCAAACAAAATACGTTGTCCATGATGGTTCAAACCGATAAACACAGCAAAGGGAAGGTGAAATTTGTTTGTCAAATACGTAGTGTCAAAACACATAACATCTCCAAACTCCTCATACGCAGCTCTACTCCTTGCGTCTACCCACACAAAATCTTGTAATGCCTCGTCTTTCCCAAACCGCATAGATGGAAAAAATTTTGATTGTTGGCACTCATTTTGTTGAAGTACTCTATCATGCCATTTGCATCACTCTCAGTAAGCTCAAGTCTAGTTTTCTGAGCCACCGCATTCTCCAAGTCTCTTTGCGTAAATGTCATCTCCTCTTCTGCATTATGATCCCGAGCATAACAACTACACATTTGGGATACCTTCACCTTAGACTTCTTCGCCGTATGCACCTGGTTCACCAAGTGATTGTTTTTCACCATTAACTCGTGCTTCCGGTACATCGCTACATCCTTTGACTTTCCCGGTGTAACAATGTGACCTTTATGCTCCAATTTCAACCTTCGAACAACCCAGTTGCCTTCCTCATTAACACTGGCATACAACTCCACAGGACACCCGCAATTTTTGGTCTTCCGTTTCTGTACTGTCTCCTTATCTTGCAACAACCCTTCCTCAAGTGCATCCTGTTTACGCTTCCTTGAAGCGTAACCATAACAGTCACAAGTCCCTTAGCATTCCTTCTCTGCTTACAACACTTCCCCTTTTCCAATTCCTTCTTCACACCCACCCACCTAGAAGCAACCCTAACATACCAAAACCCTTTTGCCTACCATAACTCCAGAAATAGGTATCCAACTCATCCCAACTCCCAAATACCATGCCCAAAGTTGGGGGTGGTACTTCCTCTTCCACACCAAATACGGTGTTCACCATTACCGTGTTCTTTTTTGGGGTTATGAATGAGGAACCTTTTGCACCAGCCCCATCAAATTCCCCTTCCACACCACGCTCAACTTCATCTTCCTCATAATCTGCCTCCTTATCCTCAACCTCAAAACCTTCCCCCTCTTCATCCTCCTGCTCATCTCCTCTTAATCCATCATCACTCTCTAATCCCTCCTCATAAACAGATACATCATCCTCCCCACCATCTTCATATCCATCACCAACATCCACCTAATTCACATACACAACCATGACTCATTCTAAATAAAACATTAGAACAAACAACCAATAACCAAAAACATACACAACAACACCAAACCCAACAAACTATATCATCACATAACAAAACTTTTTTTTTCCCTTCTTTAACAGCAACTGGTTTGAAAAAATACAAGTTCAAAGCTTTTTTTTTTTTTTTTTATAATTTTGGACAATAAATTTATTACACTCATACAATTAGGAGCTACTCATCCTTCACTCCATTCCCAATCTAAAACCAACACATTCCCAAAAATTATAATACATTAAACAAATTTCAACAACTCAACTACAATACCCATTTTATCAAATAATAATAAACAATCAACATTCATATCAAAGATTTACTCAATTTAACATTAGCAATTAGCCATATACTAACTTAATTACATGGATTGAAGTTCATATGAAATTTACAACAAAGGGTCTTAACCCTAACATCTTCATCATCTAATTAAAAGAGTCTACATTTTATAATTACCCAATTCAAATACTCATTTGTAACCCTCAATTTCAAAAAACAACACTAACAAAGGTAAAGACTTACATCCTCAGCGTCGAATCACAATTCTCTTGCGCATCCATGGCCAACTTCGCCATCTTCCCCCAATGCTTCAACTAGATCGACACCCAAAATGTCGGCTAACGGATTTCTCATCCTGATAATCTACTTCACCACAAATTATTTGCAATTTGGTCTTGAGAATTGAAGATTTTGGGAACAATGATGTCGCCATGAACTGTTCATGAGCTTGCTTTCATTCCCATTTTTTTTTTCTTTTTCAATCTCTTACTGCCAAAAGTAGGAGTGAGATCACATTTTTAATTCCCGCTTCTTTTTTTCATCCCGTTTTGCTTTCACTATACCGTTACAAGCATGACCCGCTTTCCTTCGCCACAGTTCATTTTAATTTCACAATTGTCATCCTATACCCTTCTTCGCCGATAGTTACTATGCACCAATAGTTATCCGTCATTCTTCATCTTCTAGTCGAGCCACCATTACTAGCTATTAATTCGAAGAATTGCGCTTTAATTTACAAGGTAATTTTCCGAATCTGAATTTTTCTTATTGCAATTGATGGGTAAATTTGTTAGTTTCATGGTTTATTTGGTACCCCTGTAAATTTTTCATGGTTTATTTTCCCCAATTTGATCCGTGAATTTCTATTTTTAGGGTTCATGAGTAATTTGAATTAAACCCAATATTTATCCTAATTTAGTTTGTGTAAGGGCACCCATTAAAGTGCACTTGTATTTGTTAGTATAATAATGCAAAGAAAAAATGGCAGTATTATATGGCTGTCATATAGGTCATGAACTCATAACTATATCCACAAATTTTAGGTTAATTTTTTATTATTAGGAAATACCCTGGATTGTATAATAGTTGAAAATGGGGGTGAAGATATCAATTGGTAATGCCAAGGAAAAAAAAAAAATCTTTAATCAAATCAGTGCCAAATTTGGTGGTGTTTTTGGAAATACTATTATTGTTATCAGTAGAATATCCAATTTGTGCATTTGATGAAAGAATCTCTGTCCTGAATTGTTGGCCAGAGCGTGGTTTTGATCCGGCAGGGTCTCGATTTTTAGCCCTTTGTCAATGTATTGTGAGAAAGGCTTTCTTTATGATGATGAATTCTGTCTGTATATAGTATGTGTTGAGTTTTGGAATTCAAGTGGTTCATTGAAAGGAAGTTTTATTATGAATCATTATCTTTTATGTGATCATATTACCCTATTAGGTTTTAGGATAACTATAGTTGTTTCTGCCTACTCTTTTCATTCATAACAATCATAAGTATCTTATGGGAATTCATGCTGATTGCCAAGATGTTTTATCATCTAGATATTGCTCCTATACGTAAGCGTTCTTAGTGTAGAAAGAAAAGTAAAATTTTTTTTGCAGCATAATGATGTAACACAACATTTAATTGTGCTACTAGCCTACTAGGACATGCTTAGCAATGTAGAGAGAAGTAAATTTTTTTTTTTTTTTTTGCAGCATAATGATGTAACACAGTTTAGCTTTAACATCAGATACGTGGCTCGGTACAATTGCTTTGACCCAGGCCTGTTCCTGTTCCATTGAACGGGCCTAGCTGAGAGTTCTACATTCTGTTTATTCTATTGCTGTAGCTGCATGAGTGGTGATTCGGGAAGAAATTTTTCATATTCATTGAATGTCATAACCTCTTTTCAGTCCCCAGAAAATTTAGTGATTGTAAATTTTATACTGGTAATCTGGTAATGAGTAGCACAGTTTATTGCAGGACAAGATGGTGATCCCTCCACCGGTCAGAGCTCCAAGAATCATAGAGTTTTTGAAGCCATACATGCTAAAATTGCACTTCACGAACAAATTTGTTCATGCTCAAGTCATTCACTCTCCAACAGCGACAGTGGCTGCTTCTGCAAGCTCACAGGAAAAGGCCTTGAGATCAAACATGGGCATCACGCGTGATGTGGCTGCTGCTGCAAAAATTGGGAAGATTCTTGGGGAGCGCTTGCTTGTTAAGAACATTCTTGCTGTTTCAATGTTCTTGAAGAGAGAACAGAAGTATCATGGTAAGATCAAAGCAGTGGTTGACAACATGAGAGAAGCCGGTGTGAAATTACTTTAAATTGTAACAGAAGACAGAAATACTTAATATACAGATGACATTAGGCTTCTAGAGGTTTGATATGTCTCAAGCAGCTCTTCCATAGGGAGATGCAAAAGAACATGTCTTAATCCCTATTAATGAAGTTTAGATATCTGATTCGAGCATACGTGTTCTCTTTCAGACATTATGGGCAAATATTGAAATGTGGCTACCTGGCTATGTTTTGGCCCATGTGCTGTGATATCATTGGCAAGCTTGATCTCTTTTTCCCTGTTTCCTCTGTGTTGAATAAAGAAAAGAAGTATGAAAATTTGCAGAACTTGGCTCATTGATCTTGGTAACTAGTAGTAGTCAGAGTTAAGTTGTTATTTGTTGAAGCGCACAACAACCTGTAGTTTTGAAATTACTGATTGCAAGTGGTAGTAGGAAAATAATATGAAGTATTATCCTTCATATCGTATTATCAATGTGCACGACCAGATATGGTGTAGTCCAGAATCATCTAATATGTTATCAATATAAGCAGTGTCTAGTGTGTTTTCGTAGTTCTCTGGAGATCTGGGCGATGGAGCTTGTAGTCCATCGAGTGTACTAGTGCATGACCCAACCAGTTTAACTGGGCCATAACTTGCCGTTGGCTGTATGAGAGGTCTTTGATCAGTCATACATCTGACTGATAATGTGGTGGTGATCAAATTTATGAATTGCAACTTTAACTTCGTCAGTTCTATTATAGTTTATCTAAATTCTGATGTTTATAAAAATTTGTTGTCACGACTAGTAGTCTAATAAGGTGCAACTATTTGTCCGACTTTCACTTACATAAACTTATCTTAACGGTAGCATTTTTTCATATATTAACCCTTATTTGATGCCCGCCCCCCCCCCCCCCCTCTCCTTTTTTTTTTTGGATGGAGATTGACATGTGCAAACACCAATTCCACAGTTGCATGAATTAGTTGCTTACTTCTGTGTTCTGAGACCCTCGATTTATGTTTAATTGTTTACGGAGTATGAAACAAGATAAACTGAGAAGGTTCAGCATCATAAACAATTTTGAGACTGAAACATAAATATTTATTTCACAGTACTCTGCTAAGAGCAATGTCAATCAACGATTTAACATACGTACTACGCATTACACTGAATGCAGACAAGAACTAGTACCCTACCTCTAAACCCTTACATATATGTTATTCTAAATTTAGACAAGGTGTAGAAGGCTCTTTCAGCCTCTCCTATGCACACTCTACAACGCGGAATGGAAAATCATCTCAACATACTCCTGCCAAATCAGACAACATAACAAAGAGGAGCAACATGTCAGAATAGAAGTTATGAATGATTAATTAAAAAACCAGATAATTACATGAAAACATCACCCCATGAAAAAAGAGAAATGCAATGGCTTAGTTACCTGTTTTCCGGATGGAACTTTAGGTTCGCCCCATTCAATGGCCTTCTTCTCAAGATACTCAAAATCAGCCTTGCCCGCCTGGTTGAGGGATTGTCAAGTTAATGTCTGAATGATGCATATTCATAGTACAGAATAGATGTGCCATTTTAACAATTATAGCAGAAAGATTACCTCTATTAAAGCCCCAATCTCTGAGTCGAAGCTCTGATATCTCTTCTTCACAAAGTTGTCAAGTGTTCCATCCTTCATTATGAAATATAAACAACAGTATTGCTTAGGTGTAACAGGTAAAGAGAAAATGAACAAGCGTAGAATGCAAAAGTTTGCACCGTTACCTCAATTAACTTGGCAGCACTTCGCAGTCCACGAGCCATCGTATCCATTCCACTAATATGTGCAATGAACAAGTCCTCCACATCTGTGCTCTCTCTTCGGCTGAAATACAAAAAATCATCAAGCATTATTAAGATCGGCCAAAATAATAAACAGAACAATGCACGGAAAATCTTTCTGTACATGGACCGCTTGATCTCCTGTATTCACTTTTGCCTTTTCTCTGTCTTTTTCTTAGTCATAATAACTACTAAAGTCAATTTTTAAACTGTATAAACCTATTTTTCCCCAACAAACCAATTTCAGGAACTTTCCGTGACCTATAAATTTAGAAAATGATGCGCCTCCAGTTCAGTTTTAGATCTTAATCTTAATTACTTCACGTTTCTATTATGTGCAACATAGTCTTGAATTCAACAAATAAGGGCATACAAAAATTCGCTTTTGAAAAACAAACAAGAATAACTTACAGTTTAGCATCGAAGTTGAATCCTCCAGGAGCCAACCCACCCTACAGGAAAAAAAAGGGGTCAGATCACTAACAGGTCTTCTTAATTCCTACACGAATGTCTTGGAGGCCACACTTACATTTTTTACGACAGTGAGCATAACCTTGGTAGCTTCTGCAATATCTGTCATAAACTCATCGGTATCCCAGCCTGTAGCAACCAGATGCACAGTGAGGCAACAAAATTATCTTTACATATATATGTAGCTGGGTAAAACAGTCTTCACATCCCTCCTTCCCCAACAAACAAAAAAATAGCTATACCAGTTTGAGGATCTCCAGAGTTTGCATCAATATTTCCAAGCAAGCCATTTATTCTAGCGGTCTCAAGGTCATGATGACAGCTGCAAACATCAGCATTATATTAGAACAAGAAATTTATACATGCCTTTGTGCTGTTCAAGGAGCATTGAAATTTTACACTCTACAGACACTAATCAATCAATAATTCATGAAATACCTGTGACCAGATAGTGTGGCATGATTGCATTCAATGTTAAGTTTGAACTCATCTGTCAAAAAAGATATTATCCGTGTATCAGTATCGTCAAGTCATGTACATATATGCAACGATAATTTTCAGACATCAGACCACTAAAATCCAGATCCAAAACAAATTAAACCTTGCTAAGATTAGTTGATCAAGTACTTCCTACTTCTTTGTTTAAAACTAGGATAAAATAGACATTAGATACAAAGCAAAAATAGAGATGAAATCCAGTTTAAGTATCAAAGCAACAAGTCAAGTATGATTCAGAGACAAGCACAGAAACTGGCAGAAAAATTCTATTATTGCTCATCTTCAATGGCAAAGCAGAACCCTTATATTAGGTTTTCTGCATGAGAAGAAGCCAAAGACCAGAGATTGAAAGAAAAGGAAATCTTAAACTCACCTATAAGGCCGTATTTACGCAAGAAATTAGCTGCGGTTGCTGCATCCCAGTCATACCTAAATAACAATAACCTTGTTCAGATGCCAGGAAAAAAAAAAGAGAGAATACAAGTCTAGGTGAAAAACATACTGATGCTTGGTAGGCTCCTGAGGCTTTGGTTCAATAAGCAAAGTTCCTGCCAGAAAAGAATACAAAAAAGATGGCATCAGTGCAAAGCAAATGCAAGACATGATGTACAGATAAAAAGATTAATTACATATATTTATCCAGTACAACCCCTTCATTTGTTCTAGACTAAAAAATGTAAACAAACAAGACATTACCATTAAACCCTATCTTCTTCTTATAGTTGGCAGCAGCTTCAAGAAACCTCGCCTGTCAAACAGAGATTATTGTGCATCAACGGTTATTCCCGAAGTGAGTGATTGAAAATGGAAAAACAATAGGATGCTGATGAAATTACACAAAAGAATGAAATAAAAGGTGAAGAAAATGTGCAGATCTTCAATGTCCCATACCAAAAATTTGAATGAAGATCATACTGTATGACAATTTAAAAAGCAGAAACCATTAAAGGGTAGAAACAGAAGTTGATGATCAGATTATGTCTCATACCATATGATCAAGTTCTCTTCCCATATCCGTATTTAAAAGTGTCTGATAACCCTCACGACCACCCCAGAAAACATAGTTTTCACCACCTAAGTAATGAGTCACCTGTATCATGTAAAGAGATCTTAGCATGATTCTCCAAATTGAAACCTATCTACTTCTCCTGTCAATATAATACTATAATAGCAATCACTCACCTCCATCGCCTTCTTTACTTGAGCAGCAGCATATGCGTATACCCCGACTTCAGGACTGCAAAAGGAGGCTCAAAGTTGTAAAGGTAGCAGCAAATATTTTTAACAAACATAGATTAGGAAGATGGTTATTCATACCTTGTAGCCCCTCCATGCATGTAACGAGGATGATGAAACAATTGAGCTGTACCCCACAAGGGATGAATCTTGGAACCCTGCTTTTTAGATACAAGTCAATCAGAACCCACAGATTTTGATTGCCAACTAGACTCCCCAGGTGGTCCTTACTATTTAATAATCAAGAATAACAGTATACAGATATTTTGCACAAGACAACAGTATAGGGATAAGTTCACTCAAACATAACAAAATTACTAGTATATTGAGGACATGCACAACAAAGACTATAATAAAATACTGACATGTTAGAAATATAATGAGATTCTGTGTATAAGAATCTTCAAAACAGACTAATTGCTATAGATTTAATGACCCCTACTAGGCATGATCATTGAAATCATTGGGAACTTACAGACCAGTATAACAACAGTAAGCAAAGATACAATTCTCCATCAACAAGCGAAAAATGTTAACACTCCAAATGTATTTACTAAGCTGTTGGCTAGAACGTACATTTTTTAATGGTTCCAATACAGATACAAGAGCCAAAGATTGATGATGCAAAGAAACTAATACATCAAAAACTTGTTCATAAAGTCAGGAGATAGGCAATAGCAGATCAGCATGAAAAACATCAAATAGTCGAAAAGAGATTTATTTTAATTATGGATTCTGGACAGCTATACACATCAAATTAAGGATGCTAGATGAATTAATCAGTGAATAAAATTCTACATGGGTGATGGATTTAACGTTACAGCACAAGTAGTAAACTAGTAGACCCTGTTGCTTTAACTGAGGATCAATGATTGTAAGATGGTAGATAACATTTTAGGGAAATACACAAAGGAGCCAACTGTAGCTCCTAGTTATCTAATTCATTCACACCCCACCAGTCCCTAGGTAAATCACTTTTGGAATGTGCAGACTAGTACAGGGGTCAATGATGGACAGACAGACTAATTAAAATAACTAAGCAAAATACATTCCTACACAAGTACATATGTAACGTATGTTGTATATGACATTTTCATTAACAATGAATTCCCTCTAATCGTTACAGAAGTCAATGTCATTTCGATTAGAAAAAGATTGATATAGGTAATGCTTCTTTTCAATGAGCAGATTAGTTTACATATATTGTTGTGATAGAATCATAGAAGCACACTCAAGAACCATACACTATGTTTCCTGTTGAAAATTGAGCCAAGACTCGTCAAATAAGTTTACAGGATATGATTTCTAAAAGGTTTGCTGTAAATATTCACAGATTTTCAATGTGACATGTGAAGGGAAGTTACATGAAACTTTAGAGATCGTATTAGTAAATATAAGTATCAACTTAAGAAATTCACATTGTTAAGTTGCCATATTTGAATTAATTGATCAGTCAAAGTGTAGCTTGAGCAGAGCTATCCACTCATACAGGCAGGTTATTCATGCAATATAATTAACTAAGACATCAGACAAAAGAATTCAGAAGTTTAACTTCCTTTAGTCTGGCATAATGTATATCCTCAAGTCATTTTATGTTTCTCATGATACCCTCAAAACCAATTTGCATAACATTAGTTATCCCTGATTCATATACTATCAATTAGCATACAGATAAATAATCAATACAACATACCTGCAATTCCTTAGCTAAAGCTACCACTTCATCCATATTTTTGTTAGTTTCCTGCAACAGACAATTGAAATCTTTAAACGACCAAATGAAACAGAGAAAATTAAAGAAGAAACATACAGCAACCCCAAATTAGCTAGCATTTAGGTTTTTATTATTGATCTTAGAAAATTGCACATCAAACTTGGGTTGTTTCACTTCAGGCCCAGCACTTCTTACAACCCTATTTAGTATCAAGCCATAGACTCAACTTCATATCTAGGTCTAAGAAAGTTAGCATACCTCCAAAGTTTTACCATCTGGAGCTATATCTCTATCGTGGAAGCACCAAAACTCAACTCCAAGCTTATTAATGAACTCGAAGTTAGCTCTCACTGCAAGAAAGAAGGCACTGTTAACCTAATTTGACCTCTGATTTAGGATCTAAATTAGAAGTTAGAGAGTGCATCAATCTTACTTCTTCTCTTTGCCATGGCTAAAGAATTGGTGCCATCTTCCCATGGCCAATGTTTTGTGGGAGCGCCAAATGGATCACCTCCTGTTCCACGGAATGTATGCCAAAATGCAACACTGAATCTAAACCAGTCCTGTGATTTGATTTATTAAAGAATAGTGAGGAGCACGTTATTTACATAAAATTTTCCTTTTTCTAACATCTAAACCTAAATTTGGAAGATAGTTGAAACCAACCTTCATTTTCCTTCCTAGGATCACCTCTTCAGCATTGTAATATTTGAATGCCAGATGGTTCTTGCTGTTAGGTCCCTAAAAGTGGTGCAAATACAAAGAGCTTAAGGCATTGTTTTTCATAACAGGTGTATGAAGAACAACTTATAGACTTACTATGATATCTAAGCTTGGATTCATACAAATACTAATACCTTACCTCATACTTAATTTTGGGAATTTCAGGGAAGAACTCCCCTACCCACTCATCAGTATCACACCCACTACCCTCAGCAGGACAAGTTGGTGGACCGACAGCCATCTACATACAAATATAAACATGGCGAATAAGATAGCTATACTTATTAATCTGAAAATGAAAAACATGTGAAACGTTAAAGTGAAAGCGCTTAAAGCATGTTTACCACTGCAGATAAAGCCAGATTTAAACAACATAGGAGCAATAAATTCATTCGCAACCCCATTCTGATCAGCTTCACACACTTCTGCCATAAGAGCAATAAGGATCCATAAGAAAAAATCAATTGCCACAAATTAAATTGCAGTAAACAGGAATATATCACAAGAATTGGACAAAGAGAAGAATTCTACTCTCCTAGATGACCTTAGCGCGAATTAAGAACAGTATGCTAAAAAGAAAAAAAGATCATAAACAAAGTTCACTACACAGATTCCAGCACAAAAATTTCTATTACTAGCCTACTAGGTACCAGTTCCTTATGATTCAAAAAAGGAAATTAATAAAAGCTACAACATCAGAAGATCAAAACTATGAACGTATAAAAGTTGGTACAACTACATTTCAGCCGCATTGAGTAAGTCTGTACTACAATGAAAATGAGTTCATACAATAATTGCTATAAACTCACTTTCGAATTGTTAATGTCACGGTATCAAGCAAAGCAAAAAAACAGTCCAATTCTAAATAAGAACCAATAACAACTACTCCATAGTACTTGAATCACAATCAGAAAGTGCAGCTAAAGCCTAGAAAGAAAAAAGAGAAAAGGATGAAATAGATAAACTTGGATTTTCTCAAAAAGAATGATATTTTTTTACCTTAATCTTCATAACTGGATATGATGCCAATCAATAACAACAAATAAATATCTCTAAAACCCTTAAAGTAGAAACATTGCTTACTGAACCTAACAAACCCCACAAGAGGTAGGTGGTTCTATACTCGGTCACGTTGTCACGTTACTGGATCAAATTATACTATTAACGTGACTATTATTAATTGGGGGGGGGAGGGATCATGTACACAAGGAACAAGATGATAGCTTTAATCAAATCAAACACCTGAAATTTTTTTAATGGAATCAACTCGTAAAATTTGCACAAATTTCTAATTTCAAATACCCAGAAAGATAAATCATAGAAAAATAAAGAAATTAAATAAACCCACAAAGAATCGTTCACTGCAAAATCAAATTTACAATCCAATAATAGAAATAATTAACCAAAAAAAGGCAGAACTTACCAATCAACGCAATATAAATGTATAATCAATTATGAAAACAAATTATAAATAGGAGATTTTGAGAAGAAAGAGAGAGAATTTAAAAAGATAGAAATGGTATATCAGTTTCAACCAATTTTTCTGGCATATCTTGCGGGTTTTTTTTTTTTTTTTTTTTTTTTTTTTTTGAGCTATACGAGGTAATCACTAATCAGTCAGTTCAAAACACGGATACATTTAATCCAAAAGTTTAATATAAATCCGAAAGTTTATCCATTACTCTTAATTATTTCTATTTCAATTTATAGATTTTTTTTTTTTCTTTTACAAGATAATTTATAAAAAAATATAGAGGTTATCCCTTAATGCAAAATGCATACTCATTTATGACGTGGATAAGTTCACACACATCCTTCGTGCAGCTTTGATGATAATGATAAATTCATAGATTTCATACCAATTTATTCATTTTTTTTTTTTTTGAGTAATCATACCAATTTATTCATCATATATCATTGTCCTACATTTTTTTTTATTATTATTTTTTTAAATCAGAAATTAATAAAGCTTAGTTAATCTACCTAAATGGGTTATTACCCTTCATTTTCAATAATGTTGTTTAATGTGTTTATTTTAAGCTCATGAAATCATTGCCCTTCAATAATACTACCTTCGTTTTTTTAGTTGACACCATTTGACTTTTACATTTTGACTAGCTTTTGTGATTTATAGTTACGATAAAATATAGTCAAGTGGGATCTTGTTTGAATCGTCTTAATGTATATTTTATTAATATTCACTTTTTATAATTTTACAATGTCGAGAATTAGAGATATTAATCGTTAAAATAGTGCGTTGACAAGCGTGCAAAGAGAAAGGTATCAACTAAATTAAAACAGAGGTGGTATTTGGTTGAGTCCATCAAAATTTAATTTGTGATCTTCAATTCGGCCTAGCCTAAAACCTTTTTTAAAATTGAATTGGATTCGAATCAATTTTAGTACTCCCTCGTTTCATAATTAGAAGCCTATTTTCCTTTTTTGGGTGTTCAAAATTAAAAGTTTGTTTCTAATTATAGATAGTACTTTTTGACAATAATACACTCTTTTTGATGATTTGTCATCCTTTTTCTTTTCTTTTTTGTACTTTTTGGATCAATTCCCAACACTTTCTCTCTCTATCTCTTCAATAATTTTCAACCACTTTTTCTTTCTCTCTATCTTTCTTTAACCACACATGCATATTTGTACTCCCAACCAACTTCCTAAATTTCCGTGAAAGATAGAAATAGGTTTCTAATTATGAAATGGAGGGAATATAAAATTATGCACATTAACTTCTAAAATGACTAAGTTTTCCTTCAATGTGTTAGGCAAACTTTTTAGTGTTTAGGTTATAATCCATAAATAGGCTATTAAACAAGCATTTTTAATTTTTTTTAAAAATTATTTTAGAAACATTAAATGTTCAAAAAAAAAATCTACAACTGATCTGATTTTAATACTAGCACAATTTAGGTTTTTGAATTATCATTTTTTTTTTTTCGTCAAGCCCAATTAGGTTTTGGACTATTATATGTTGAACAACCCTATTACTAATTTCTGTAATGGTGTATTGGTGAAATTATTAAAAGTTAATATTGAAATTGCATATTGAGATGGATCTAATAAGATTACAAATGACAATGCTTTATCTTATATTGAAATCACAAGTACGGTTATGGGCAGATGTGTTTGACTTAGATCAATTTTTTTTTAAACAGATCAATATTTTTAGGTATTCAATAAATAAAAGGAAAAAAAATAATTCATTTCATTGTTAAAATAAACACATGGTATGCATAATTTATCATTCGTACCATTACGTTTTCATTTTTGGTTCTAGCCTCATTTAACTTTGTGAACCAAACACTCCTTTATATGTTGACTTATTATTAATTTCTCTCTTTAAATAAACTTTTGCATATATGGCCTTGTTCTCTTCATCTTAAAATAGTAATATTCAATAAAAATAAGTTCTGTTTTATAAAAATAAGTTTAGTTTAGCAAAAATAATTTCAATTCAGTAAAAATAATTTTTAATTTGTAAAAATCAGGAACTATAAAGAATAAATATAATAGAGAATCAACAAAAATAAGTTTTAATCTGTAATTTTAAGTAAAAATAATTTAAGTTTAGTAAAAATAATTTCAGTTTATGTAAAATAATTTTTAGTCTAGTAAAAATAATGTCAATTCATTAAAAATAATTTCAATTCATTAGCAAAAATGAAGTGAAGAAAAGAGGGTCTTAGAGCAACTCCATGCCACATAAGCTTTTAAGCTAATTGTCATTTTAGCTACTTTTAGCTCTAATGGCTAGTTATTAGCTAACCTTTTTTTTTGTTTTTTTTTTTTTGTTTCTTTGAAGAAGAAAAGCTAACTATTTAAATGAACTTCACTTCCTTAATTAAATTTTTTATATTTCATTTTATTTATGCTATTTTGGCAAAAAAAAATTTCAGCAACGCTTATTTGCTTGACCAAGCTAATTACAATTTCTAGATCCAATGGTCAAGCTAGTTGTTACTTGTTGGTGTGATAATCCAAGTCCCACATGGAAAAGAATGAGGAAGAGATGAGTTCCTAATAAGTGATTGGGCACTCCAATTAATATGAGGTCTTTTTGGGAAGGTGCTCAAAAACAAATCCATGCAAGTTAGGCCCAAAAGTGGACAATCTAGAATTATTACTAAAATAACAACCGCTGACATTATCTCTCTTCAAAATTGTACATGTGTCTCGTTATTATGAAAAAAAAATTCCGCCTAAAAGCATTGATGTCATTTATTTGTGATAATCGTAGGAAGTTAAGTAAACTCTTTCAATAAGTTTATTCTAGAAAACTGGAGCACGGTAAATTGAATACAACTCTTCAATTCTATTTTCAATTATCTAATTTGTTTTTGCATTAGCTCTAAGTTTCTTATAAAAAAAATGGATATTTTGAGCTTGGGATTATGCATTGCACTTGATTATAATACTAGACTATGTTAAATTATAATTTATTATATTTAATAATAATATTTAAATATAATTTATTTTTAGTGATACATATTTTCTTCTAAATTATGGAGTACAATCAACCTTACTTTAGCATTTCCTTCTTATTAATTGAGTTTCTTTGACCAAATTTGTAAAACCATTTTAATTTTCAATATCTTATATTATGCGTTGTTAAATATGAAATATATAATTTCCAGTAGGGGTTGATATTATTCCTTCAAAATAATTTGTAATTAAGTTATTTTATGTGCCTAAAAGTGAGTTAATGGGTATTAGGTTGTTAGTGCCTTAGTGGCATATTAATCTCCTTAATAAAATAGATTTTAGGAATATTAGAAATCAGTTTATTTGGTGGAGTAAATTGTGGCCCGTGTTTATCCACTAAGTACTAGCATTATCTATTTTTTAGTTTAAGTTTGTTATTGTAGGCCTATATAAGAGACACACATCTATGTATTTTATGACTAGGTTAGACTCGTGCGATGCACAATTTTTTCAAAATGAAAAATTTAGCAATCAGCATAAGAAGAGAAAATCAAACAACTCTAATAATAATTGATATTTGTTATGAAATATTTGTGGATATCCATTATCCTCTTTTTATCATTTCGGAATATTTTAGATCTAGGGTTTGTTGTTATCTAAACAAACCCTAGTTATATTGTATGTATATATATCCCCACTCTATGGAATAAAAATCTGATCTATTCTCTCTCCACCTCTCATATTTTCTTCTTATTTTATTACACAAGCATCATAAATTGACTGATCTCAAACTACCTCTTGATTTCACGAACATCAACCAGAAAAGTAATTTCCCAAATCCCTCTGCCGAAACCACCGTTGCTCTGCCGATACCACCGATCCTTGTTCTTTGGGCTTGTTTGTACTCGTTCTTGCACTCTAATTTTAAGGTAACTAGTACTATCCCTTAGACTAGATTTCACCTAGTTTAGAATGAATGATTTAGGCTTAGAACAATTAAGAAAGTCGTATGAAAAAAATAATTTAGTACGATTGTTAGTTACCTTGTATAAAATCGGTTTTTAATTTGACTAAATTATGGACTGTTTCCCCCTACCGATTTTACGCGACTTATGTGCATCATGAGCCTGCTATCTTCCAGTTTTCTTGTCTAATTTTCAAGAATCAAAGTCCATGTATAAATTATGATCATTGTAGTAGATAACTATTTGTGCATTTCGGTTTCGTGGTGTATTTCTCCATCAGGTTTGGTGCGTTATATCACTTGGATTTGACTTTCATAGCTTATAATGATTAAATTAGCTGCTTGAATCTTAGTTTAATTGGGTCATGGTTTTAATTGGTATAATTGGTGTTTTGTGAAGTATAGTACGGTTTCGAGGAGTAATATAGAGTGAGTTGTTGCCTGCAATTTGTGTGATAATAGCATGGGATTATTACTCTGATTATCACTTTAAAAATCATGCTAGGAGTTCATGTCATGTAATGTATTTATTTTGAACTATGAGTAGTGATTAAAATAGAAAAGAAAAAAAAAATTAATGGAAAATGGAGTAATTAAGTTTGAAATGTTTGATCTTTATGAAATGGGTATGTTTTTTTGGGGAAGAGAGAGAAAAGAGAAGTGAGAAGGGGAGAGAGACAGAAGAGGTGCTTTAGTAGTGTGTATAGACTGACAGCACTTAGCAAGGCAGCAACTATTGTTGCTTGATTCTTTCTCCTTTTGTTATTAATAATATAGACTGTCAATATTTATATATATGTTATTATTTATTTATAATATTGTTTTATATATCAGTGAATCATATCAAACCTTGCAAAACTCGAATTTGTTACTCTTGATATTACTGGAAACAACTATCTGTCTTGGGTGTTAGATGCTGAAATACACTTAGATGCAAAGGGACTTGGTGATACTATTAAAGAAAACAATACTGCAACAAGCCAAGATAAGGCTAAAGCTATGATATTCCTTCGTCATCACCTTCATAAAGGCCTTAAGACTGACTACTTGACTGTTAAAGACCCATAAGTCTTTTGGAGTAATCTAAAGGAAAGGTATGACCACCAGAAAACTGTGATATTACCAAAGGCTCGTTATGACTGGTTACATTTATGATTACAAGACTTTAAGTCTGTGAGTGAATACAACTCAACCATGTTTAGAATAACATCACAATTAAAATTATGTGGAGAGAAAATCACGGATGCAAAAATGTTAGAAAAAACATACTCTACTTTTCATGCAAACAATGTTGTCCTTCAGACACAATACCGTGAAAAGGGTTTTACAAAATATTCTGAATTGATATCTTGTCTCCTTGTGGCTGAGCAAAATAATGAACTATTAATGAAAAATCATGAATCACGCCTAACTGGTTCTACTCCATTTCCTGAAGCGAATGCGACATCCCATAGTGGGAAGGAGAAAAAGGCTAGAGATCATGCCAGCAGTCGTGGTCGAGGCCGTGGGACATCTGTTTTTGGATATTTTTATGTTTTTGGATATTTCATTATTATTATTATCAGTCATTTATTAATTTAAGTTATTTGGTTTAGTGAATCTTATTTTAGTTCCTTTAATTCTATTAGAATATTAATTTGAGAATTTTTAGTATAAAGGTTCATATAATTGGGCAAGAGGAACGAATATGAGTCTTATAAGAATCATTTTACTTTGCTTGATACATGCATTTATAAAAGAATTTATGGCTTAAAAGGTGCAAGAGATTTAAAGGTACTTGGATTAATTTAATGCCCCCACATGCTAGGATTAGGGGGAGATAGTATTTATTTCATTATTTTATGTAATCCTTGCACATATATAATAAACATATATTGATGGTCAGTTTGGTACATACATTAACTTAAATATTAACGTTTTATTTAATAAAAGTGGCCACATGTTAATTAATATATTTCAAGATGATACCATCCTGAAGATGGATATGAATAGATGTCATTAGCTATATACCAATTGTAAATGCTCTAATTAAAATTAATGTCCCAGAAGGACAACATCAATTACTATGAACCTAAAGCACGGCTAAAGCGTGGTAGCCGTAGCCGAGCCCAATAGATTTCAAAGATAAGAATCTTCAAACAGGAAAAGAGCAATTATTGATAATAACAAATTTGAGGAAGTAATACATTTTAATAGATCTTTATAAGAGATTATATTTAGTAAAATGGATATGTACCATGATTATATAGAGTACTCTAGAAGAGTATAGAATGTCCAACAAGCTTAGCATGTATTAAGATTATAGTCAAAGCTCCAGCAAAGTATAAAATTTTGGATCAAGTATTAGTTGATTGTCTTGTCGATTACATAAAGAAACACATGTTGGTGTTCTAATATCACATCATATTCATGGCCATGCATAAAGTAATATTAATAAAAGTGATCACTAGTGTTGAAAAACTGACCAGAGTTCAAATTTAGAGAAGTGACTGGATGTGATAATTAAATTAGGCCATCCGGGTTTAATAATTACCCGTCATGAAAACTTGAAGTTTCACTTGATATGAAAGAAATTGTGTGTTGACGCTCCATCATGTTAGATATATATATAATGAATTGAATGGCAAGACATAACGTTGAGATTGAGCTATATTTATATTTTGATTTAATAGTTTGTTTTGAAGAAATTTCAAGAGATTATATGCTAGTTTTGAACAATTTTGCATGTGAACAAGCTAAGTAATAATAAGTGGCCAGTAGCTCACTAAAACAAGTTGTGTGTAGAGAGATTTTGAGTAACAAGATGCTCATTATCAAAATATTTGAAGAATTAGAAGATCTCCATATAGTGGCTTTACAATTTACATGCAAGTGGTTAATCTCTTGATTGGGGCTATTTTATGTCAGCACATAAGAAATAGAAGAAAGAAAAACGTACAACTGCACAAAACATGTCTCCCCATTGACATTGATCTCCAGAAGAGAACATATTATGGAAATTGTAATAATAAATACACATGCAATGTAAAGTTAATGAAGAAATGATTCTTCATTGAAATTGTTCTCTAGAAGAGATAAAACTTGTTTAATATAAATCTCCTGAGAGATAAATTTTGATTGTGATCCTCGCAATGAAATAAATTTTAATGCAAATTAATATACTAAGTTGGTATAGAATTAGACGCCCCTATAAATGAGATATTTTACCAACTTAGGAGGAGAAGAATCGGCAAAAGTAGGAAAATCGAAAAGAATTTGATGATCCCTATAATGGTAGTTTGAAAAGTTATATGCCAACTTTTGTCTATATATTATCAAGATATGTTGCACATTTATGATTTGATTTGTATTTAGTTATGACTCATGTTGCATAGCGTTGAAGATACTTTTTGGTCATATTAAGTGTATACATTGAGATAAAACATTGTCAATTATACTTGAATCACTACACCTGAAGTGTAGGTTGTATGATCGATTCCAAAATAAAGATATGTCTAATAAATATGATATATGGCAAGATAGTGCAGTTTACTAATAGCGTAATAGTATATAAATACCATAGTGTATGAAATACCCTAAAAGTGGTATAGATATCTGAATCATTACAATAGATGGCCTATGATGTAAGGAAGTTATGATGGTACCAATAAGAAATGTATTCAAATATCGTAGTAAAATAGCATGCAAAATGTACGTTAAAGAAATATTATGATACCGGTACACAAGGGAACCGATAAATAATATGCATATGTATGATAGAATGGACTAGTGAATAAGGGATCTGAAATATATATGTCCATTTTGATGTCGACATAATGATAATGATCAAAAGATTATCATGGACCAGAAGTCTAATGAAATATGGATTTTTAAATCCATATTGTACAGTGTCTTACATTATTTTGAGTCCTATGTATGTTTATATGCATGTATAAGTCATAGGTTAACGGATTGTTTATTGCATATGTCAGTAGTTGTTAGATGCATTACTTATTATATATTTTGCTTAATATGTTATCATGTTTTATATATCTCATATTGCATACATTAGTTTCTATACAATATTTGTGGTGTATGTGCATGTTCATTCAAAGTATAGTAAGGCATATTTACAACTTTGATGGAAAATTAGAAAGACATATTTATATTCCAACGGGCTTATAATTATGATGAAATTATATATGACATTGATATAATTTTATTTATGAATCATGTAAGAGAAGTTCCCGAAGAACGTATATGCAGCGTATTTATAGCCCTACAAATTTATATCTTAAATATTGCAATTTTTATCAAACTCTTGAAAAGTCTATGTGACTACATCATTGACTTCTCAACCTGAAGTTTGAGCATATGAAAGTTAGTGAGATTTGCTTTTGTATTTGCAAGAGAGCTATCGTGTCAATTATGAAACGTCTAAGGAATATCAATGGAATACTTATGCGTGAGAATGTTTTCTTATGGTCTAGAAGAACCATGATTAGCGTATCTAAATACATGTGTTATATTATAATATAGATGAGATTGAAGAACGACATTAATAATATGAAGTTTTGTCATCAAATTATTCTTAATGAATATTTGATCAAATAATGATCATCGATTTCTATTATTCACGACCTCCAAAGGAAGGCCTAACCACATAAGTTTAACTTTATTCAAATAGAGGTTTGGAATGATGTAGAGATAAATACATGTATGGTGAAATGACACTTCACATGTCCACTTGAAGACTTGAAGATGCAATTTAAGTTTAGGAGGATCAAAGACCAATGAATGATATTTTACTACATATTAGAAGATATCCAACTATATTGGATTCATTGTTGCGGCACTAGAAGATCTCAGGTTATGTATTCATCAGGGGGAGAAAATATGCGCTGCACTCTTTTTCCCTTGACCATGGTTTTGTCCCACATTGGGTTTTCCTGGTAAGATTTTTAATGAGGAGGCATCTCGAGCGTATTACGAAGAATGTTGTACTCTTTTTTCTTCATTAGGTTTTTATCCCACAGGGTTTTTCCTAATAAGGTTTTAACGAGGCACACTCTTCGATAATGGACATCCAAGGGGGAGTGTTATGAAATATTTGTGGATATCCATTATCCTCCTTTTTCCATTCCGGAATATTATAGATCTAGGGTTTATTGTTATCTAAGCAAACCCTAGTTATATTGTATGTATATATATCCCCACTCTATGGAATAAAAAACTGATCTATTCTCTCTCCATCTCTCATATTTTCTTCTTATTTTATAACAATATTATACTTGTGAATCATTTAAATAAAAAAATTTATAATAAATTACAACAAAATAGAAAGAGATTTAGAAAGCAAAAGGAAAAAAAAGTAGATCCAAATAATGGAATAGATTTACAGTTGAATACTTGAATTTAGGTTTTTTATTATTAATACCCCAAATTTAAAGAGAAATTTAATGTACTGTATTACTCCATGATTTAAAGAGCCAATATTAAGCCTACTTATAAGAAAAAAAAATAAAAAAAAATAAAGGAAGTTTAGGCGGTAAAAAAAAAGAAGGAGAAGTTGACACTTGTATAGTTTCGGGAGGAAAGATGATGTTAGCGGTTATTATGGTAATAGTTATAGATTGAATGAGAAATATTAGTACTCCCTCCGTTTTATAATGTTAGTCCCATATACTATTTTTGACGTTTCAAAAAGATCTATCTATATTGAATATGTTCCATTTTTAACTTAATTTTTTTGGAATTAATTGGTTGTGGATTGGTGACATGGCTCCAAGTAATGAAATCTCTACCTTGAATTATGCAATTATGACTTATGCTAATAAAAAAACTTAAATAAGGTAAGCTAATTATAAATTATTTTGTACTTTAATATTAAATTCCAAATATTCTTCTTTTCTATCCCATATGGGACTATCATATGAAAACGGAGGGAGTATTATTTTCAACGTTTATTTATGGAGTACGTCTTGTGTATGGCGGGTGTACATTAATTTTATTGTAAGACGGTCAGATTGAGGGTAACTTTGACTAATTTTGTTTTTTGGTAACTTTAACCACTTAAAGGGTAACTTTTAATTTGTCGTTGGTTTGAATTTTATTTTAATGTCTAATTTCTTATAGATTCATGATTACATATTATAAAAACTAATATGATTAATCTAATACATTATAAGTTTTTTATAAGATAAAATTTATTATTAGAAAAATAATAACTTTTGTAGTATAAAAGGTAACTTTAAATACTTTTATGATAACTTTAACCTGTCTTACAATAAATTAACGTACACCTGCCTTTTTAGAGATTTTGTTTTATTTACGTTCTCTTTTGCTTCTTATTCCAACAATAGGATGATCGATAGTTATGAAATTTTAACTTAGTATTTTGATTTTGTAGGGTCTTTATAGCTCCTACAACAAAGGGTTTTGGTTATTCATCAATTTGGGTGTTGTGACAATAATTAATTTCAAGTTGGCTACTAGAGGTCAATTATATAGAAAGCATTGAATGTATTATATCACTTAACTACATAGGCTTATGATTTTATCTATCAATTTATTTTAGATGTTTGATCATTCAACAAGAAAGCTATTTATTTATACATACTTATGAAATGCGAGTATGAAAATATTGTGTTAGGATTTTCACCTTCCAACAATGATTTTATGACAAATTTGAAAAGATTTTTTTGTATATGTAAGTTCTACAGTAATTTTTTTTTTTGGTAAAACCATGCAACAAATGGGGCTAATCTAGTAACATACTAATGT